CATGATACCAATACAGTTTCAGATGAATTAAAACAAAATGAATATACATTATTACTATGATTATCTAATGAGTACTGAAAATTGAGCTCATTCTTAATAAAATCTATTTTCCAAACTTTTATTGATTAATCAGAACCTCCTGAAATAAGTTGATCCTCCTGTTTATTTAACATCAAACAATTAACATAATGATTATGTTATTAGAATGGCTATGAACACTTCCACTCTTTTTAATTAATTTATTGCCAACAGATGATAGTCTTATCATATGAACCAGATATAAAGTTATTTCTCAATTTACTATATACCAAACATGTAACAAATTCTTTATGTTTTTAATATGTATTAATTAATTTTAATTTTCCTTGTTCAAAATTCCAAATTTTAATCTCCTTCAAATCACAAGAAATCATGATTGATCCAGTTTTATCAAAATCTATTGCATAAGAATAACCAATCTATTAATTAGAATCATCAATTAATTTAAGTTCAACTTTTTTATTGATCATTAATTATTATTACTATTAATTCTATTAAATATATACTTAGATCACTTCCTTTTATTTATTACTATCATTTTCTTAATTTCCTTTGATCAAAATGCTTTCATGTTGTAAATTTTATAGTTATTAAGGATCAATAGCTTCTTTGGCAATATTTTTTTATTTATTGATTTATTCCTCTTCATTATTATAAATTTATGAATCTCTTTATAAATGGTTATCTTCTGATTGATTTAACTTTTTGTTTTTTTTTTAAATGTTATTTTAGGTAATTTAATTAATCAAAGGTCTTACGCTTTCAAGAATGGACTATGTAAAGTTAAAATCCGATTCAGAGCAATGAATACATTAAAGTATTGCGAATTAGGATTATAGTTGAGGAAACTCAAATTTAAATGGAATAAGTAGAAGTGAGTCTAATTATTCTTCAATCTTTGAGAAAGCAGACAATAAAATAATGAATAATAAATTACTTCTACTTCTTAATCTAATTTAAAGAAGTGTTCTTCAATTTTAGCTATTGTGTATTGGATGATGGATGATGTTTAGGATTGGATAGATTACATTGATTTTAAATGATATTTTAATTATAACTATTAAATTATGTTTGCTTCTTGTTTTAATGAGTGATAAATCTTTTGATTAATAAAGGAAATTATTTACTTAATAATAAAATTATAATATTTTGCTTTTTGTTGCCTATCCTTGAGATTCTCTTAATAAATTCTGTGCAATTTGATTGACTTTTTTATTGGCTTGCACATATAGTAAAAAATAGATATATGAATAAATGATATTTGTTTTTGGTTAGGAACATCTCCTAGATCAAGGAAAATAATTATAAAGATAAAAAATTAAAAGTCCTCGTTCTATAAATTCTAATTTTCAGTAATGAGCAAAAAGATGATAAAACTTGGAATTAATATTTCAAATGTAAATAGGTTTTAATTTGGTTTATAGAATTGACCATTGTAAATATAATTTTTAAGGACTAGACTAATTGATAAATAAAATAAAGCTAGATTTAAGTTATCATGAAAAAGAAAAAGTATTATTGTTAACAATAACTCATCCATAATAAGAGAGAAGTTATTATGAAAGTAAAGAGTAGTAAGTTTAGTTATATTTTTTAGACTCCTTAATATATTTTTAATAAATGAGATTTATTAATATTTTGATCGTCTATATAAATAATTAACTTTAATCTCGATACCTAACCTGATAATCATAATTTTTAGGCCAAAAACTTCTAAAAAGAAAAAACCATTTAGTCTATTATTTTCTAAAAAATTGATAAAAAATAACTATATCTATTTATTGATTTAAATTACTCATTACTTGATAATGAGCCAAGTAATTTAAAATTATTTAATTTCTACTGAATATAGAGATATATCAAGATTTCAATAGATTCTACCTCTAAAATGAATAAATCAGAATGTTATAATTAATGAGGGAATTGAAAAAATATAATTATTTTTGAATAGTAAAACAACATTAATAAATACAAAAATTAATCAACAGTATAGAATTTGAATTTAAGAATTATATCAAATATAAATAAAATAAGAGTTATTTATAAGGTCTTTAGAATGAAAAAATTGGTTTAACATTAGATTATACAAAGGATTCTATTTTTCAAAAAAATTATTTAATATACATGTTGGATAGAATTGATACATACTTGTTCTTTCTGCAAAAAGAAGAAACTACAATTAAAAATAAGATGAATAGAAGCTGATAAAATGTTATATAATTGATTGGAATTAAGAAATTAAATAATCGTGAAAGTTATAATAGAATTTAAAATAAAATATTGAAAGTTAGAGACAAAGGAAATTATAAATAATTATTCAATTATCCTACTGATTAGCAATAGAAGAATTTTTATTCTTCCTCACAAAAATAAACAAATAATTTAATGGTCCTTACTTCTAAAATATCAAAACTGAAAATTTTATTGATTAATATAAATAAAAATGATTATTATGATATATTGTGAGCAATTTGAAAAAATTAGTATTAATAATAGAGATTGCTTCAACAATCTTCAAATAATATTAAATGACTGCCTTTTTTTAAGCCATCATACACTTAAGGTAAAGAGTCTAAATAATTAATGAGATTAATAAACACTATTTAGTTTGATTTATTAATGAATCAATATATATAAAAAACTTTAAGGACTGTAATTAGGAAATTATTATTATTAAAGTTTGATTAGTTATATCCAAATTATGATTAATATAAAATGTGTATTAAGAGAAGATTAAATAATGGAACTTCATCTCTTCATAATTTGATTTTGATATTATTAAATATCAAATTCACAGTTTTATCTTCTATATCATAAAATTTTATTCTGTAAATACATTATTATGATAACTCTCTTAAATAAATTTTTAAAACACTTTAAGTAACACTAGTTTTTTTCCATCTCTAATTATATTAAATTAGTTTACATTTTCTACAGAAATTACAACATATATTTTTTTCATTATTCTATTCTATGAATTTCTTCTAAATATGAAAAATTTCATTCTTTAACATACTTACTTCATTTATAATATTCTATCATAAACATTAATCTTT